CCCCCCCAACCCCTCCCCTCTGACTAGATATGAATCAAAAACGTGAAATTGTTTCCAAGGCAACCGCTACACGCTAACCGTTGCTACTGATTGGCTATTTTTGAACCACTGATACATTGCCTGATGCATGTAAGGCAAGTTTCACTGGAAAAATATCGATATCTTTGGCGAGCCAACACTTGAGAACAATGGTCACGCATCTGGTGGCATGGATTACAGAAATGGCTACATAACTGTCCCTGAGAAAGGCGTGTATTACATTCATGCTCAACTGAGGATCCACAGCTCTCGAAGTCGGTTTTACATCAAGGTTTCACGTCTTGATGGTGCTTTGTCTGTCCCTGCTGATGGTGGTACTGCACCTGTAATGGCTTCGTACTAACTCGAAAAGGGTGACAAGATATGGTTGCAGGCACACGACAGTCTCAGGATTTACGTTGCAAGAGTGTCAAATATCTTTGGTGCATTCAAGCTGCAGTAAAGAAACCAGTAGAATATACATTTGTATTAGGCACACTGTAATTGGAAGCTACATAAGCTCGCAAAATAATTAAAGTGATATCATAAAAGCAACAATCTCCAGTTTGTTTCATATTTAGCATTTATCTATAACTGAGACCAAAAAAAGACCAGAAAATAACCACTGACAAGTTAGGAAGGAAGGAAGGAAGGAAGAAAGAGAGAGAGAGAGAGAGAGAGAGAAAAAAAGAAAGAAAAAAAGAAAAGTTGAAGTACTTCATGATAAATTAGCAGCCCACTGACTGTCTGACAGGCAGACATGCAAAGGAAAAAGAAATAGGGAATAGTTCCTATCACTTACGAGCAAACAGAATAACTTAAAAACATTTGACCCCTACCTGGGTTCCCTGTGGTAAGTGAATTTTGAATTTCATTTTATGGGTGACCTGTGGTGATGTTTCTAGGAAGTAAGCCAAGACGCCATGACAGGTGAGCATTATCTAATTCTTTGTTTTTTCATCGTCAAATCTTTTCTTGTTTATATAATTTAGATATATCTGCAAAGTCTTAAGATAAGAGCGTCATTTAGCATTAGTCAAGTAGCTTGATGATTTTCTATAAGACAGTTTATTCCACTTCCATCTCCAGTAATACTATCTTAGTCTCTCAGTAATATATACAAAGTCGACCTCATATTATAATTGTTTTATGTTCTGACTTCATGAATTATGCTTCAGACGTCTATGTTATGATTATTACTGATTGAATAGTTTTACTCTTTGGATAAAGTCAAGTAAATACTTTGGTTTGTGTGAAAAAGCTGAACATCACAATTCGAAAAGTCATGAGGTCGATTTGTCTATACAATAAGCGCTACTTCTCAGATTATTTTTAACACTATTCCTCTTCATAAAAGAAATTCTCGAGAAATGCACGTTACGTAAGCATAACATACTAGAGGAATCAAATATACCTTATAAAAACGAGTTTTTTAGATCTGATTGTCTATCGTGTTCGCGTGATAGAAACAAATTGTGTTTTGATCCATATTTTAATATAATGCTTATAGAGTGCAAACAATTAATCCGTRAAACACTAATTACTAAATAGTAYAAAATAGTGCTAATTAAACAATAGAAAACAATGGAATTTRCATGAAATTGTGCTATTTAGTATTACTAAAGTTTCACGGTTATATTGTTTGCAATCTATAATGTTTTAAAAAGGAAGTTTAGTAAAATTTTAGACTTGAATTATTCTTGGTTTGCAATCGATCCCAAGAGAGCACAATAACAAAAGGGATGTCCGCCATGTTGGAAGATATAACAAAAGAATTCATTGAAAAATCTTTTGTCAAATTCTTCCAACATGGCGGCTATGACGTCTATTGCAAACGAAGAATAGTGTCGCGCGCTATGATTGGTCATTTTCTAGTTTATTTTTTAAATGTAGCTACATAGTAAACTTACTCAAACTTTTGATTACGCTTGTATTTTGATTTTAGATTATGAAACATAAAGAATTAGCATAGTATGTTAGACCAAGCGTTCAAAAAAAATTGTTCAGCTGGCAAACATTTTTATTACTTACGTTTCGCGTGACTTGTCTTGTCGTGACCTGCGTGACGATATTTGCTATTACTCTCATGCGACCGACAAAGGATTTTTTAATTAGCCTGCATTTATACAAGTCTGAAGTCTAAAGTTAACTAGACGCACTTTGGTCGGTGCGTTCACTCGGGCTACTATCAAGATGTCCAACTGATAATAGATAGCTTAGAGTAAAACAAGACGCTCTTGAAGCGTGCACTGGGTTGCCCAATGTGCTGGTATGCTGGAGCTTATTTAACACCTAATCTTTGTTGTGTACCGCTATTTTAGAGGAGGGGGTACTATTGGAGCATTTTAGGTGCATATTTTTTAGAACTTCCGAATACTACTGATGCGGTTTTGTAGACAGAAAACAACGTTGCGTTACTGACGTCACTAAATTTCAATATGCTCTCTCTTGAAATACACAAGATTCTTGACCTGACTTTGACCTGACTAAGACTCGTTGACGACATAAATATATTTATTTCAGGTACTCTAAATTCGTTTAGAAATGTGTTGAAATGGTTATTTGTTTTTCGCTAACTGTTCTGAAGTTCTCGATCTCTCCATTATTGAATATRTRYATTTTTTRAATATCCAAAACAGTGAAGTGGAATGAAACTCGGTTAGTAAAAGGATTCAAAACTAAGCGAAAAGTACTTACGGCCAAAGTAAGTAGTATTTAACGATATATTCATTTCATGCCTAAAAACTGAAAGCCGYATTCTCATTTAGGCTCTACTAATCCACGCGATTGAAGCCAGAATACTGCAGACTGAGTAGCTGTATTAATACTAATAAATATCTGAATTACAATCCTAGAAATCTTCTTTTACCGCTCAATTATATTACACACTAGTTTTTAGCTAGTTATATCTTCTAATTATATTACTTCTAAAGCCCGGACTACATCCTCAGCTGCTAGGCCAATCTATAAGCCATTTATCTATGAACACGTCATTCAAATCCAAGAATGAACATTTCGCGAGGAGACTACAAAAAAACAAAAAAAAAAACAACAAAGGTATTCTACGACTGGKCTGCCACAGTCAACCATGTAAAAAACAAAAATATTTTATGACTGGGCTGCCACAGAAAGCTTTGAATTTTCACCCTTTGAAAGGCCATGGATAATCTTAATGTGTAGCAAAAACATGCCCAACTTCTAAAACTTGTTTTCCTCTTCTAAATACCCGAAAGTTGAGTGTTTTTTAATTTTGGAAAATCAGGAACCGTACATAGATGGAATGGACTGGACTTCGGTTGGCTGGATCGTACGGAACRTAGACGGTTTTTTACGCCAAATTTGCAGCTTTTATTCTATGTTTTTTATTTTGTTATAAATACTAATGATTCTATTTTTTATGTTTCAGGATAGAAAATGGGTGCAGAGGAAACTAGACATAGCGTTCGTGAKCCTGGCGATGTAAGTAAAATACTGATCATAACGTATACCCCATTCACACCAAAAAGTCGTTATGGTTGTTAGCAACATAAAGGCAAGTCGTTACGCGTCAAAGGTTGCRTTGCGCTTGTTAATAATCTTCTAAACCCGTTTAGTTACACCACTTTTAACTATGTTTTACACTCGAAGTGAACGGGGCAATAGTAAGGACCTGAACYATTAATCAAGGGTGATCAGTAGCAGTAGTTCACTCGCCCCTCACCTATGGGGTCTCTGTTTCAATTCTTTATCTGCTGTCTGTATGTCTGTATGTCTGTCTGTATGTCTTCCTGTCTGTAGGTATGTCTGTCTGTCTGTCAGATCCGTATTTATTTTACTAATATTTGAGGACAATGTTTTATTTCAGGACGAACAGGTGCAGCCCAGTGAAACAGAGAGAAACAGAGAGAGACCTGCTGTTCCATACGTAAGTTTCTTCCTATAGTTTTCCTTTTATAAGGGGTCAAAATTGGCATAGTGGCGTGGTAGCTCCACTTGCCTCTCACCYATGGGTTTCGGTTTTGATTCCATCCACAAAACCTAACTAGCTGAAGTCCAATTCGAAGTTGCTTCATGGTTCGATCTGTGAGTTGGCCGTGCTCAGACTTTGACCACTGAGCTCAGAGGCAGTTTCAGTGCTCGATCTGTGAGCTATTAGCCGTTTTCTGACTTAAGCTGATGCTRCATGGGATGCGACTCGTCGATTTTTAATACATGTTACACGAGTCAACTTTTCGCGCAACGTTCGTTCGAAAATCAACATGTTACACGGAAATTTTCTTAGCGATTTTAAAGCCGCCATCTTGTTTGTTGACATCGCTTCACTTCCTTGAGAGCATTGAACTGCATGTTGGGTATGCGTTGCGAGGAATCGTTGAAGCTGTTACACGAATCAGCTGGCATAAAATTCGCCATTCAGCGTTGCGAGTTTTGTGAAGCTAAATCAAAAACTTGCAACTCGTTGCTGAATCCGAAAATCGTTGTAGATGGCATGTTACGCGGCATCAGTTTTTCGCGCAACGGCGTATCGCGAAAAATCGTTGCCGAATCGTCCCGTGTAACATCAGCTTTAGATCAGCCCAGGGGTTGTTTCAGGGTTCAATCTGTGCCGGTTAGCCATGCGCTGGCTTTGATCAGCACAGAGGTTGTTTCAGGGATYGATCTTTRAGYTAGCYGTGCCCTGACTAGATGAGCCCAGAAATTGTATCAGAGTTTAACCAAATTCATACTTTTCTATGTTAATTTTCCTTCTCTTCATTCTTGCGTCTTATTTTTAGAAGGTGCACCCTTTCCATCCTCTCTCCCCTTTCCTCCGTAAAGGCTGGTTCACACTAGCGACGGAATCGAAAGTGGAATCGGAAGCGGAGACGTAAGAGGAGCGTACGATCTAGTGTGATCCAATAATCGGAATCTGAAGCAGAAGGGCGACGGTAGCGCAATCGGAAGAATCAAAGGTTTTCTTTTTCTGACGACTCCGATTCCGATTATGATACTTATGATCAAGTGTGAACCAAAGAATCGGAATCGGAARCTTTGACCAATGACAGAGCTCATCCCCAGGCCATTTGGCGCAGAAAACGAGTCCAACGCTGCAGACACTTACGACACAAGTGTGAATCAGCCTTAAGACGTTCATATTAAGATTATAAAAATKTTTGCTAATGTGCTTTCTTCAGGCTGGAAGGGAACATCTCGGAMGAGATGTAGGAGTGTTGCCAAGAGATACAGGACAGCCTTGGGTAAGACAGTCAAGAACAAGAGAGCCACCGTCACCAACTGGACGGCCTGTGGAAACCATCCAAGGTCTTGCACCAGCAAGGAGTACTGGATCAGGGCAGATGCAAGGTACTGGAAGACCATGGGAAACAATGCCAGGAAGAGATGTGACAAGTAGTGCAGGAGCAGGGCAGATACCTGGTACTGGAAGACCATGGGAGAGAATGCCATTAAGAGATGTGGCATGTAGTGCAGGAGCAGGGCAGATACCTGGTACTGGAAGACCATGGGAAACAATGCCAGGAAGAGAGGTGACAAGGAGTGTAGAAACAGGGCAGACACCTGGTACTGGAAGACCATGGGAGACAATGCCAGGAAGAGAGGTGACAAGTAGTGCAGCAGCAGGGCAGATACCTGGTACTGGAAGACCATGGGAGATAATGCGGCCAGGAAGAGAGGTCATAGGAACAGGGCAGATACCTGGAGAACCAAGGGGGACAATTCCAGGCACTGGAACTTCTGGTGTAAGCAAAAAGTTGCTTATAGTTTAAGTTAGATAGAAGGCACGCGAAGGCGGACGAGTGATTTTATTTGACCCTTTAAACAAACTTACTTGTAAATACCATTAACGTTGAAATGCGACCCGCAAAGTTTGATGTCTTGTTCGTCAACCGTCAATCAAAGATTTTGGACAGAGATTTTAGAGGACTAGAGGATTAGAATCTTTTTAGTTTAAAATCTCCCTCAAGATAATGTTCTTCTTTTTCAGTTTTGTAACTCCTTTTTTAACGGATTACTAAATTTATAGTACACTCAACAAAATTACTCGACTCTGATTGGTCGAGAGGAGTACAATTATAGCGTAGTTAATTGTACTCCGTACTGAGTACCGAATTAAGTCGCTATGGCAACACGGCCAAAACAATGTCAAAACAATTGTTTTCTATCATTTTGTACTTAAAAAACATATAAATAAATTTTTAAATCCGTAAGAACTAAACTTTTTTGTGCATTTCAGTTGCGCGATGGACTGAAAATCGGCCGCCAAATAGACAAAGATGAACGGCGTCGCTTCGCATTTTTATTGAAATTTTGTTGAGTGAACTATAAACAAAAAAATACTCGAGATCGTGCGATTTCCTATACTAATACTATGCACTCTAAACCTATGAAAAAAAAGAACTTGGTGCTAAATGACACTATTCAAATAATGAAAAAGCAAAGGCTTCTGCACACCGTATTACTAATTAGCAATTAGTCCTCGAAAATGAATGGGCTATTGACTCGTAGGCCATGATCGAGGGCGAAAGGGCTAATTGTTTAAGGCAAATCCAAATAGTCAGAGTCAAATATATAGATGCAAAAAACAAGTTTTGAATTTTGAAAAGATTAATTTAATGTTTTGGTTTTCAAAGMCGGCACTTGTCATTCACTTCTCAATGTAAAGCGCCTTCGATTATATATATTCATAAATCATCATCACTTTTCGCTTCTAGTAGGATATAACTTGTAGCCTAGTAGTAGCTCATCCAATCAGAACGCAGCATGGATGAAAGAAAACTAKTTGGATTTGACCTATAAATTGTAGCACTTTTTCCAGGGATTGTGGTGTGCACTATTGTCAAGGCACATACAGATGACTCAATTGTCACTCACAAATATTTTTTTTATTYTTCTAGGAATCGAGAACTCGACCAACTGGAGCAAAGAGGGAGACCAACAGAGAACGACTWTTACGTGTAAGATACGATGCTTTACTATTTATTAAATATCCGATTCAAAAGTTCCTAGACACTTCTGTACCTTTCGATGTCTTTGACCTGTTGTTTTGTAGCTTGAGAAATGATCTATTTGATTTGTGTGTTTTTTTAAGGAAAGGAACACTATTGAAGGACAAATTGAAGACGCCAAGGCTCGGTTGAATCGAGTAAGTTTTCCTTATTTGACCTGATATTTTACATTGAAAAAAGATATGAAGTATCAAACTTTGTATGATCATGGTCCTACCAGTGATATTTACTAACATCTCCGTCGTATATATATATTTTATTTTTTTTATTTTTAAAGGTTGATGAGTCAATTTGAGTTTCATAATATGAATCCAACCTACAAAAACCTTTACGATCTCGTATATAGTAATTTATCTATTCATCCATTCATCCATTGAGTTTCATAATATGAATCCAACCTACAAAAACCTTTACGATCTCGTATATAGTAATTTATCTATTCATCCATCCATCCGTCCAGCCCTACGACCGTCCATTTATCCTCAAACCTTTTACCCAAAAATCTACCCACCTACCCATAGGTCTATATATCCACCCTTGAATCCATCCTTTCATCCAACAAACCATCCAACTAAACACAGAAACACCCATCCACCCATACATACAATCGTCCACCCAACAAATCACCTACCCCACCACCCACCCACCTATCCTTGCTTGCAAACAAACAAACTCGAATGAAACATTTTGTTGCATAACGGCAATATGACCCAAGGGCTACTATTGCATTGGCCTGGGTGCTGTAATTTATAATGAAATATTCCACAAGAACATAATTTTTAAAAAAAGCCATTGCTTACACGTTTCGGAAACTAAATCTAACTTAAGTCTTAAACGTGTGTTGCTGTTTTTTCAATTAAGAAAATGGTAGCAGTTGAGAATGAAWTACAAGCCCTCAACCCTCTTCCAATTTCTCATGTAAGTAGACAAAATGTACTATCACACAAGTACATATATAACGATATACATTTTAGAAAGTTTAAGCCTAGATGCTGAGGTCGTTACGCTTATGCTTGTGTCACACTCACAAACAAACAAAAAACAATTCCAAATGAAAATAAATTCTCGTACCCAGAGCTCCTCGSCTTCGTTCCTACCCGTTGGAGGAAAAATACCGGCAGATGTGTCCCATATGTTATGACTAGCAACATGCTTGCACCTGAATAAGTTGTAGCCATCAAGAACAGAAACCCCGCAGAGGTCATGACGTGTCAATGAACATCATAGCAAAATTAGGCTGCGTATAGCTCTTGCAATGAAAAGGTGGAGTTCGAATGAAATATTCGACAATAGTTCAATCCATGTTCCTTCAAACTTTTCAGAGGCGAAGCTTCTTTTGTTAAAGGGTTTGCAAAGCTAAAGTGTAGCTAGATAACGCCAGATGCGCATCTATGTATAGTCACGCGCAGACATGTTACATTCCTGAATCATAATTTGGCTTTATGTCCTCTGTGCTCGAACGTAGGTTAAGAAACAAGAGATGGAAAGAAATGTAAGAAAAGCCAAGGCACATTTTTTAGAAGTAAGTACATCTGGTAGAAAATAGCAGAGACGAAATGGGGGAAAAKGATGTATCCTGGTTTCCATTTATGTTCACCACGAAAAAAAAACCCGCCAAAAAACGTTTTTCAGCTATCGCAGCGATCATATGGAATCACATCTTCAGTGATCGTTTGCGATCAAAGAGATAATTGCCCCACGACCATCAGAATAGATAAGCCAGCCATGCTATTCATTGTACGGGATTGCTGATAAAATTTGAAACAATCAACACGCGCGAGATAATTGCTTATCAAAACAAAATACCCAAATTCGCAAATTCATATCCAATCACCGGTACGCCACCTCAAAGTCCGATCAAACCGAGTAAGTCTACCTTTTTATTCATCCTTAATTTTACATTTTTTTAAAATCATGAACTATGAAACTTTGTATGCTCATAGTGATCCTGCCAATGATTTTAAATATTTACTGACATCTCGTATAGTCATGTTTGTCTGTTGTTCTGAACGCACTGCCATATGCCCACCCAAGAAACCATTTGACAGCACTGAATAAACACTGAATAAGTTATTATATTATTATATATAGAGAATATTATACTATTACGGGATCGAATAAGAAAAAAAATATGTTATTCCCTTTGGTGACACAGTGCTAAAGACGGTATAAAGCTATTTGGAAAGGCTGATGAAGGTTTTTCTGCAAGTTGCATGCCACGCCCGAATTACACAACAATATGAACTTTCCTAATCATTGACAGGATCATGATATGAACTTTGTAGTGAAGTGTGTTTGTCCGGGATATGACATTTTCCTAAACTTTGTCTGCACGTTTTTCCTGCATATTTTCTTCTGTGCTGACATTATTTACATATAAATATAAAGTGTTCTTAGCTTAGTAAGCAACATGCAATAGAATCTTCGCCAACCGTTTTTGAAATAGCTGAATCGACCTTGCTGTTGTTAAAATAATACAAGTAACGTTTCTATATTTTTTTGTTCATTTTTATTATTATTCTTTATCTCGCTCAATGTATCGATTGATAGGGTGTGCAAAAAGTAAATCAATCTAGTGAAGAAACGTTTGGTAGATTACTCAAGGTGGGTCTGATTTCAAGTGCATTAAATCATTTATTAATATCAATGATATTYGTTTGTCTCTGATTAATTATTATTGTTAAGTAAACGTTTCGACCATTTACCAATGTCCTTCATCAGTAAGAATGATGGCTTGCGCACGGATTTCAAATATAAAATACCGTTAGCTAACAATCGTTTGACGCCCTTTCTCCCGCGTGTGAGGTTGTTCTAAGTCTGGGATTTGAAGACAGCAGTCATTCCCAGCGTTCATCTCCCAGTGTTTGCGAGTACAAATGCATTTTGGTTTTCTCTTGTGCTTTACGAAATTAAATATAGGGTCATTTGTTTTCTTTTTTAATTAGAAAATTGAAGAGATTGAAGACCCAAGGAATGCACCTTCACGAATGGTAATTTATAGTACAATGTTATAGAAGGGATTGTCTMATTTTCGTAATTTATTGTCAAAGAATACTGAAAAAGAGCCAAC